GGTGGAGGTGTAAACTGGTGGCGGAAGAGAGGGAGAAGGGAAATGATACTAAAACTTAACTTACATAACATAATGTAACAATAACTTAAAAATAACTTAGAAAAGATTAAAAAAATTAGTGTTGTTTTATATTTTTTGTTTTAATTTTTATTCACTGCTTTTTGCTTTATTTCCTTCACTTTCACCAGCGCTTTCACTGGATAGAGGTGGCTTGGTTAAATATCTATCCAAAGAGGTTTGGCTTTGCCTACTTTTTAAAATGTTTATAAAATGACTTAGGCAAATGCGATTACTCCGAGCGGCAATACGGCCAGTGTGAACCTTTTCGGGATATTTCTTTTCAATAAAATCAGTCACTTTCTGATAATACCTCAAGATTTCCTTCATCGAGCGATATCCTTCCACGACGAAGCAAACATGCGGACTGAGACCAATGAACAGAAGTGAATAAAAAATGGCGCTGCGAACTAATGTAACGTCGTATGGTGAGTTTTTGTTCGTATCGTGGAGCAAAAATATGTTCGAATTTCATGTCGTATCCTGAAAATTTCGTATGCTGGGGCGTTCATATCCTGAGGTACCACTGTAATTTATTCCATAAACATAGATTTTTATATGTACATTTTTCTAATTTATTTGAAAAGTTTTATTGCAGACAAGTGAGTTTCATTTAGACTCAACATTCCTTCCAATTCCATGTCTAAATATGCATTCGAAAACCCAAACACAATAGATTTTGAACATGTAATAACAGTTATATTATATTATAGGAACTATAGCTTATAATTATTTTCATTTTAGGGGTAAACAATCAAAAAAGTTTGGAGATCATTGATTTAGAGGATAAGAGTGTAATTTGATGCCTGAACCAAATTTTTAATCTCAGCCATTTACTCAAACTAAGTTGGAAATGCTGAAACTCTCTTTTAGTTAATATATAGATTAGTTTTACATTGATAAAATTATTATGTAAAAACTTTAAAAGTTAGGTTCTCAAATATTATTTACCATGCAGTTTTAACATTTGTACATCTTTAGTTATTGAAGTATAAAGTTGCATGTGGCCTTTAGGACCACCCTGTATTTTATTTATATCACTATTATGTATATGGCACCAATTTAGTTTGAAAATCAATAATTTCTGTTATACATTTTTTTAATGCTTGATTAGTTTACTAAAAACTATAAGAAACTATATTTTAATTATGAGTATAGTATATTGTAAAATGGAACACTTATTATGAATATTATCACAGATAAAGATTTTAAATTCAGAATATGTAACTAATCTAATTGAGTAGCTGAGGATGGTTTCAAAAGTGTTTCTGAAATAAATGTTTTTCAGATGCCTTAAATAAGTAGTATATTCATAGTTGATGTTTGTGGTACCTATTTTAATGGAATTTTCAGAAACTATATTGAATTATAAAGTTTTTAACTAAATTTTTTATGTTTTCAGTTATCAAGTTGGACCTGTAATAAAAGAAAAGACACAATCTGAATTTAGTAACTCAATCAATATTCAACATTTACCATTTAGAGTATGATAAAAATTTTTAATTGTTTAATTTAATTTAAATATATTTAATATATATTAAATGGTAATTATTTTTACAGATATTACAACAAATAGCTAGATATTTAGATAGCTTTAGTCTTTCAAATCTTGCATTAACTTCAGTTCTACTAAGAGATGTATGCTGTTCATTATTAGAAGATAGAGGAATTGTTGTATTTAGGTGGGAAAGACATAAAATTGGTGAAAATTATACATGGAAGATTGCAAATAAGGTAAATAATAATATTGAATTTTATTGTTATTGTCATTTGGTAAGTTTTAAGTATTTTATGGTAAAATCAATGTAAAAAAGATAACTTTTTTTTTTAGAGATGGTTTTTTAGTACTTCATTTACACCTATAGAAGAATGGTGCTTTGAAGACAGCAGTATATCAAATCATCTCAGGATATGCCCATTGTTTCAAAGGAATATTAAAACTAAACCATATTTTTGTCTCGGATTAGACAAAAAGAGTTGTCACTACCATTAACAATTTTTTTTTCTAGCAAATTGTGATAGAACATATTTAGATTAGAAAAGTAAAACTAAAAGTTTGTAAGTGTAAATGATTTTTATTATATTAAAAATTTTAAACTTTGCTTATAAAATTCTGAAGTACAAATTTTAAAATTCAGTTTATCTGAACATAACCAAATTTAAAAATTACTACAAATGAAGTTGAAAATAATCATTGTAAAAATAAGCATTTATTTTTGATTCATATAAATGAATAATAATCTATCAATTGCTTTACAGCAGGGGTTCCCAACTTGTGTTCTGCAGAATCATAGGGTTCCACAATAAAATCTGCTGAGTCTAGTGATGTATGAATGAGCCAATGCAGATTTGGGATGTGAGGTGTAATTGTTCTAGTCGCAGATCAAGTCTTGTTATGATGTCCTATACATGTGGTAGAGTTATTTATAGCTTTATAAACAGTGGTGGCCAATTTATTGGTAATGGAACAAACTATGATATAATGTTTGACATGATAATGAAAACCATAAAAACAGAACCTAAAGCTAGAAAATCATAAAAAAAATAACCTTAAAAAAATATCAAACATATAAATAATATTACAATCATTAAATATGCTTTAATTCATCAATATTTACAGCACAAGCCTATTGAGTCTAATGACAGGAGTGGCCAATCAGATGCCTGATGCTGTACTGTACTGTACATGCTATAATACTAGTGACAAGACACCCATATCAGATGAGCGTCACGTGTTGCCAACAGATTAATTAATGTCCTATCATCTGTAGTGTGTTATAGCACAATTGTATAGTGTATAAGCAGGCATATCAATCAACGATTATTAAGTTTTGCATTCAGAGATGTCCTGATACTGCCAATATCAATACTGTATCAATACTTTTCTTTGTTACCAAGTACTTTTTATACTCGATACTTACTCTGATATCCAGTGGTATGGCATGAATTTGATGATAGGGAAGTTGTGTTTCCATAAATATTTTAAACAAATACTGGAAATGACAAAAATAAACAGTTTATTTATTTTAATTCTAAAATAGATAATGACACGAAACAAAGATATAAAAATCTGTTTTTATTATTTTTTATAAACTAACTCTATTCACAATTTTTTCTGCAAAGTCATTAATTACTTTATCATAAAAATTTCTTGTCATTGATTCCATTAAAGTATTGAAAAGCTCTTTTTCTGTTGAAAGCAGTGCTAGTGACAATCTTTCCTCTGACTGAGTGTTCCTTGCCACTGTATCAATTCGCTTCATGGTTGAAAAACTGCACTCAACAGACGCACTGGTAGATGGTACCATAAAAATTAATGATATTAAACCATATAATTCTTTTAGTACATCTTTGTTCAGTTTGTCATTAATTATAATGTTTTATGTGTAAGAGTGACTTGCCAGTATAGTCTGGACATGAATATAAATATTGCAATTCACTACGTAATTTAGATAAATCAAAAATTTTCCATAAAATTTACTTAATTTAAAGAATTAAAACTTGCTTCGGAAAATTGTTTTTCATAATATTTAAAATTATTAACATCTAAAAGTGATAAAAATTCTAAAGATTTTATGTCTGAAAATCTGTCAATATAATTATAATTAAAAGAAAATTGTAATTAAATATAGCTTTTATAAAAAAAACATACATAAAAATAACATTGAATATTCTATACTTTTTAAATCTTAAAACAATGCACTTAGTCAAATAGCTCCCTATGAGTGGCTAATGGATGGAATTGTTGGAAGTGTTATACAATATTTTGGTGTGTAGCACCCACGAGCTGAACCACGTGAGGTTAGTGCAAGTGCAAATGTGTGTAATCTGGCTGCTTTACACAATTTGAATATTTTTGCCATGGAAGTTGTCCCGTATTCCATGGTTTGCTGTCACAAGGTGAAAGGTGTGACATGAACTTTTACATATTCTATTAATTTCAAGTTTTATTTATATATTTTTATCACAGTTGCTGTGACTATACTTTACACACGTTTTCGGTCAATTAATTGACTAAAAACGTTAGATTACGTTAATAAAATAGACTGCATATTAAAGGTTGGTAAAGTGTAGTTATTTTGAAAGTGCAGTTTGAGAAGGCAGTTGTTTTGTTTCTTATGCTTGTATTTCATTATCTGCTGCAGCACTGATGAAATAAGACGATGTTTGTTTATTCTTTATTACAAGCCACGCATTTTTATGTATTCTAAGAAATTAAATGTAAAATAAATTTGCTCACAGGTGTTGATGTCTGTATCATATTAATAATAATAGGTTAGTGGCATTACATAATTCTATTAATAGTATCATATCATATGTTTTTGAGGGGAATAACATTTTGGTGTGCCATGTTGAGTCACGGGTGGGCAACAAGTAGAAAAAGGTTACGGAACACTGCCATATTCGACAATACAGCATTTTCATTGGAGATATGCATATACAAATTTATATTTGAATGTACAATAGGAATCTTATCATTGTTTTTTACATGTACAGAAATTTGTAATAAAATATTAATTTTAAGTAAGCATGAAAATAATCGCACAATATGTATTTATATTTTAGAAAATACAAGGAAAGTGGCACTTCTACAGCTCCCATGGATGGCATGCTACTACTTGTATTGATACTTCCTTTTGGGTGTCAGATCTGGTATCAAGTAGCGCATGCAGAGGAAGAGGCCAATGGGCCTTGCACCCCCAAATAAAAGAAAAGAAAACATTAGTAAATTTTCTAAACATCTTTTCCTAATAATTAAAATTTAGTTTTTTATGTATATTATGTGGTGTCTTCTATTTCTATATTACTTATGAGTTAGTGGTCTCACAACGTTGGAATTTTATTGAAGTTGCATTAAAATCTTTTTATCTGTTTAGCTCAGCTCCCCAAGATTAAATCTTGAGTGTGCCACTGCTGGTATCATTACATTTTTTTACAGACAGGTAGGGCCTGACCAAAAACAGATTTTACAACTGAATCAGAGACTGAAATGGAATTTTATACTATTTTTGGTTAGTTAAACTTGCATAAAAAAAATACTGATGATCAAAAATCAATAAATGTATTATGTCAAACTTCATTTCCAGAATCTGTATATGCTGAGAGTTCTGATTACTATTTATAAATAAATATTTAGTTAAACATTATGCAATACTTTTGTTTGTTAATCAACTTGGGACCATCAGTAATGTTTAAATGAGCTACAATTTGTATATACTTGTTTACACTGACATTTGTAAAATTAGAACACAATAAAGAACTTTCACTGTCTTACTTCTTCACCAACAATTTCTTATCACTCCTGTCCCACATATAGTAGTACTCACTGATCCTATTAGCAGGGCTGTGGATCTCGGGTTGCTTTTATGTACATAAGATATAAAAATGTAAACTGAAGTACTGACTGATACACTGACTTCTGAACCAGATAGCCAGAATTCAATTCTGTCGCGTAAGCAACAAAATATTAATTGCTGTTCTGAACACACTCAGCATTCATTGTAATGAGTACAGTATCTTCTCAGCAGTAAAAGCAACTGGAAGGCAATATGACAGACTGAACACGACAGCTGTCAAAATATCCAGTTTTGATACCCAATGCTAATACTGGCCAGTATTGATTCTTTAAGACCAATACTAATACTGATACTGGTGTCGATACTTTAAAACTACTCATGATACCATATCAATACTTTTGTGGTATCAGGACATCCCTATTTGCACTGCAATTGTTTTGTGATATTTTAAGTATTTTTCATATAAAAATATAGTGGGAATGATATTAATTTATAGTGCATTCAGTATTGTGTATATCCCAAATTAAAAAATCAAGGAGCATGGTCTGAGAGAATAGTTTTGAAGAAAATGTAGCAGGTACTTCAAATGTTTCTAGTGACAAGGAGACTGAAAAGATGGATACAAAGATACAAATCCAGGAACTAGCACTGTTTAAAATATTTAAAGAAAAGAAGTTTAACCCTTCACATTAATGACCAATTTGAATTAAGTAATAATATTTGTTTTCCATTATTAATTTTTTTTTGTCAATAAATTGTTTTTGGTGTTCCTATTTGCTGTTTTATCTATAACCATTAAAAATTGTTGGGGTTCCAATAATTTTTACTAAGGTGAAAAGGGTTCTGTGATAAAAATAAGTTGGGAACTTCTGTTCTACAGCATAGTAATTGATATGTAATATTTTATACAATTTATTAAATACATTAGGATGAATTAATAAGTACTTATATAATTGGCTGGTATTCAAAAATTATAGCAAATATTTAAATACAATAATGACTAAATATAATATAATAATTATTTTTAAAAAATACAGCAACTTTAAATTTTTCTAATTAAGGGATCTTCATTTATTGTAATTGTGATGATGCACTTTGAAGGAATTTATTCATCCATATTGGGATCAATCTATAATCTGGATTTTTAATAATTTTTACTTCTAGGATTATGTGGAGCTAGAATCATAGATATAGATATAGTATAATTTAAAGGAAATGTTTTTATTTAAAAATAATATGAAATAAATAGAGATCATGATTCTGATGAAACTATAAATAGGAATAGTTATATAGCCAAAAAAATTTTTCAAAATTAATAAGAATTATTTTAACCAGTTATGTTTTAGCTATGATATTTTATTAGTCAGTTTAGATGTTTATTATAATTATAAAGTGAACAAAGTACAGTATATTTGGCTTCTATCTTAAAGTTTTACAGTAGTGTTAATATACACTAGAATTTTCTCCATATTGAGAGATCCAAAGTTAAATTTATTGATCTTTTTATCTTGCTATCAGTTTTCAATCCATCTCAGATATTTGTGATAGACTGAAAACTAGTCATAACATTCTGTGAATTAAAAAGCAAAAATTATGAGAAATATAAATTTATAATTATATTTTCCATTAATAAATATCTTTAGTATATAAATTTATATCAGATACAACTTTATTGAAGTGTCACTTATTATTTTTAAATACTTGCTATAATTCACAATAGATCGTGAATTTAATGCTTATTAACTTATGTTCAATTTTAAGCTTTATAAATGTATATATAGTTGTTAGTTGTTTAAGTTCTATTTTTTTTTTATTTAAGTTTTGCAGTTCAGTAATCTGTAGAAAATTCAGCAATTTGTTCTTAGTTGTTTTGATTGTGTATAATATTTTTTAATAACTTCTATAAAGAATATATACTTATATAGAATTTGGACAACTTAATCAAATTATAATCTACAGAAGTCTTTTTTTAGTTAAAACAAACTGTGATGGGATGTATAGAATATTGCATTTTGTTGGTAGATATTGTATATTAATTGCTATTAATAAATTATTTTTTTTCATTTGTTTGTCATTTGATAACTTTAAATTAAGTAATATTTATTGGTGAATGTCTTTATAATTTTAAAACTTTTCTTTTAATGAATTATTATTTGATTTAACATTCATTTTTGCTAATTTTCTTAAATTTCATAATAAATATATTATGAACTTTAATATACAGTAGAACTTGGTTAAGAACTTTTTCAAGGAACCAACATAAAAAATATCTTATGTGGAAATTTCTTAAGTAGAAATGAAAATATAACTTCCTTTAATGAGTCATGTTTATTTAACAACAAACTGCTATATTATTACAGTGAAATAGGCTTATATAGTATCTGTTTAGATATTTGTCTAATGTAGTCTGCTTCATCCATTTTGTTATGTAAAATAAAAATATGTTTTATGATTCCCATGAACAAAACCAAGATCTACAAATTGCATATGTATTAAAATTTGTTGAAGACTTACAGAATAACACACATTAGTATTGCCCTCAGAATTTGCTGTTTGTTACAGATGATAAAAGAAAATTGTAAAATCCATGTTCAAGTAGCCCAAAGTCATGCAAAATGGCACATGAAATAATTTTGAATTTGTTTATAAGCTGTTAAATGTGTAAATTTTTTACTTTCCTGGCTATTATACAGGGGAAAAGTAAGGCAATCTGGCTAAAAGTTTTAATTTTTGAACTTAGAACACCTTGAAACATCGAGAAATACAAAAAAGTTCGGGGGTAATTTCTGTATATGTGGATGTTGGGGGCACAATTTTTTTCGCCCTGTTTGAAGCTTAATAACTCCTGTGCTTTTTGTTGAAAATTTCTGAAATTTTGCAGAGAGGTTTGTTTATTAGGGAGATTGATGCTATTAAATTTTGGTGGTTAAAAGTCGAGGGGTTGGGGAGATAATGGGAGTTGTGTGTATCTCCAGTAGGGCCGGACTTAATGACGATTTTACTCGTTATTAGCATTTACAATTTTTTTTTTTTTTATAAAACTCATCCCTACCCTCAAAATTAAGCTTTTTGCCACTTTATAATAGTTAAAAATATAACAAGTTTTAAAAAAATATGATAACAGATGGCGCAATCAAAATTTAAAATGTTGCTTGGAAAGTTGAGCAACTCGTTGCTGGATTTTCAATAGGATGCAGTGGAAAACAAGTGAGTATTTTCCAGTCAGACAAGAATTTCTGTCGACATAAGAGAAATTTTCTTAAATGGGAATATTTCATATGGGAAAAAATTGGGGCATTTGAAATCTTACGTAGGAAAACTTCTAATGCAAGAACTTTTTAAGTTCTACTGTATATATAATTTTGTATACACAAAATATTTCTGTTTAAAATATACAATTACAATTAGTAATATTCTTTTTCTGAAAGGTTTTATAAATATAAAATCAAAATATTTAAAGTTTTTATGTCAAATGCATCATCATACTGATTCAGTTTCATTTGTAAATACCACAGCATATATTGATATAAATGAATCACATTAAATTCAAATATGAAATAAACAGACTTAAAATTTAAAGATACAAAGCAAAAATTCTTAGGGATAAATATCATTCTGCTTTTTTAAAACAAACTGTTCAAATTTTAAAATGTTTGGTACCAATATTTAGAATAAATTGACAATAAACTCATTAAGTCCCTGAATATACAGGGTGAAACAAAAGTAGATAGTAGGTAGAATAGAGTTATACTATAACAGTGGCTATATTTACAGCGGAGTAGCATGGGTGTCAGCCGCCCCGGGGCGGGGGAAATTTTTGCCGTCCCGTTATTTAAGCATCTCAATTTAAAAGACTAAAATTCAGTTTCGTCACAGAATAAGCAATGAAAAATTCCGTGCTAGCGCAGCGACCTGTTGAAAATAGCTCTATTGGACATTGGAGGTGTATATGAATACGAATGAATCGTACAAGCAGGTTGCGCATGATATCCCCGGATGAAATTACTAGTTCACTCGGACAGTGAGTCGATTCCTGGACTGTCCGGATAATAGCACTATCTTAGGCGCGACGCAAATATACAATAGAATGGTTCAAATTTTTACAAGATATTATTATTATTCATTGTGAAATTTTGCCGCCCCCTAAAAAGTGCCGCCCGGGGCGGGCCGCCCACTACGCTACGCCACTGTATATTTAACTTCATTATGGTTGAAAAATTACATCAGAGATGCATTGCAAGAAATTAGTACACACAGATATTTGTGCAAAAATATTTGTCAAAGCGTGAAATATAGATTTCAAAGCTGCGTAAATTATGATGGACAGCAGCTTGAGCACTTGCGTTGATAAAATTGTACTGTAGGTCTACTGTATTAGTAAATATGTAATCTCAATAAATGTTATCATTTACTATAAAGTTTCTTTTTTAGTCAAATTTGCAAAGTAATTATGTAAAGACATTCATCAAAAACATTATATGATAGAGATAAATATTAAGTTGATTATTACTAATCTTATGCACAATTGATAACTGATGTTTTTTTGTGGCGTAATAAACACTAATATTGTGTTTTATTCTAAAGACACATGGCAAATTTTCCATCAAGTTCTTTATTAGTTGATCTTTGCATTTTTGTTTGATGAATCTTGCCGTTTCTAGCCATGTGTCTTTAGAATAAAACACAATATTAGTATTTATTACGCCACAAATATAAAACAGGACACGGTTTCAAAAAGAAAATCAACAAATCTACAGAAACTAGAAACGGCAAGACTCATCAAACAAAAATGCAAAGATCAACTAATAAAGAACTTGATGGAAAATTTGCCATGTGTCTTTAGAATAAAACACAATATTAGTGTTTATTACGCCACAAATATAAAACAGGACACAGTTTCAAAAAGAAAATCAAAAAAAAAAACTGATGTTCTGTACTTAAAAATATGTCCTGAAATTTATTAATTATTGTTTGCAAAGTGAACCAGGAGGAAGCAATTGGAATACAGTAGTAGCACATTTAGTACGTAAAGCTAATTTTCCTCTATCAAAATAAAAATTTAATTCATTAGGAAATGAAACTTCTATTTCTTTATTTGATTCAAGCCAATTCCGACAAATTATACATTTCTTTTTCATTAATTTTTTTCACTGTATATCCTGCAAGATATGTTAAAATTGGTAACATTGATTCAGGTACATTTTGGAAGGAAAATTTATTCTGAAGTATTGTATAAAATGGGTCTATATTAACAGAATTTTTAAAGTTTTAAAGTAGGTAATATTGTTTTTAATTGAATATCATATGATAAAATTATATTTATCATATGATATTCCTTTATATGATAAAATTACAAAGCTTTTAAATCTTAATTTCTTTTCACTTTCTAATAACTGGTATAATAATTTTTAATCCTGCCAAATCAGTGGGAACTTTTCGGAATCAAATGCTCCTTAGTGGCTCTTTTGGTAGAGAAAAGTAGAAAAAGTTTTCTTTTACCTTCTATAATTTGTTTTATAGTCATAACACTACATCATCTTGGCAGTTTGAAAAATTTTATATATCCTGTAAAACAGTATACAGTCCAATAAATTACTTTATAATTAAATTTACTTTTGAATTTATGGTCCACACATATATATCAATACATTAAAATAATTAACTTTTACCTTACTTTTAATAAGTTTTAAACAAAATATTTAAATTACTAAACTAGTAAAATTAAATATTCGAAAGTATAGTAATAGAAAATGCCTAAAATGACTATTAGAAATATCAAACTGATTAGTTGATATTTCAATTAAAAAGGATCAAAATCAAAATACAATCAAGTGGTTAACATAAGAAGTAAAACAACGGATTTTCTAAAACAAAACTGCTGAAAAACTTCTAGTTACTTTTTTTCTTTTAAATGAAATTAACCTTATGGAATTCGAACGTACAGTACAGTACGTGTAACGAAAAATACAACACAAGAGACTGTATCCAGCACTAAGTTAGTCACGTGACTAAAACGCACCCTGGCCTGTCTTTTTCCTTGGCCTAGTAGTAGCGTTTTTCATTTACGCTGCCTATCGCTTAGCTGCAACTGACCAATGACGGCTGCTTCTTGTTCCAACGCATACGTCACTCATTGTTCGGCAGATGTAAGTACGTAACAGCTACCGATTGAAACTAGTGATGTAACGAATATTCGGTTACTATTCGGTATTCGGCCTATTTTTCACTATTCGGCCGANAAATATATTAGTTCGCATTAATTTCCCTAATAACAAATAAACTTACGTTTCAGCAGAACACAGCAGCAGCTAGTAACGAGGGCAGCAGTGAAACAGACTTAGAAGATGTAAGAAGTGTAAGTATCTCGTATTTCTTGAAATAATCAATGTTCGAAAGTCAAAAATATATTAGTTCGCATTAATTTCCCTAATAACAAATAAACTTACGTTTCAGCAGGACACAGCAGTAGCTAGTAACGAGAGCAGCAGAGAACCAGACAATAGGAATGCAGTCAATTTATTTGTGTATTTTTTATTCTTTAGCATGATTATTATTGGATCAACACTGTTGCCTTTGACTTTATTGGTTGGTTTTTCTTTCTGGCTGGATAGTGAGAGTGTTGAAGTCACAAGTTTTTTCCAGGCTTTCAGATTATTTAATGAAAATTAGTTGTGGTGATTAAAATGATTTTTACGAATTACTTGTATTTTACAGAAAACGTAGCATACGAGAATGAATATTATGTAAGTAATTTAGCAAACAAATGACTTATGACTTATATAATGGTAAAAAGTACTTTTGATTTATGACGTAAAATTCATCTGAAAGTTTTTTGTGGTTAATTATTAGAAAAATTATTTGCTATTGCGACCCTGTCAGGTCAGTTTGGCTTGTAGGCCTTACGTGAGCGGACGCGTTTGCAGTCGATCGGGCAGATGGAGTGAGAGACAGTGACCCGGAAGTGACTCACGCTGAGACTAGGTTAACGTAACAACAGTTTAATGGGTAACGATAGGCTATACATCAGTGTTTCTAAACCTCTAACGAATCGTCGCATCCTTCAATAAAACCGTTACGTAGTATCGCTCCCTTCACTTCAAAATTCTTATGCCGAGGGCCAAGGCTAACGCCAAATTCGTACTGCATTGAATAGACTAGTGACTAGTATAATGTTATTTGTTTAATTATTGTACGATAGAACGAATAAAATATCGAATTAATCTTAATATAGTATTTTACTATATCGCGCAGAAAATTGTTTTTCGCCCCCCAAAATATAAATTGTTACAAATCGTCCCCTCAACATGGAAAAACGCCCACATAGGGCGATATCGCCCCGTTGAGAAACACTGCTATACATCTTTTACACTAAGTTGATAAGTTCGATTGAAGGGGTGTAATAAGCGTTCGAGAGAGAGTTTACAATTTTCGTGTGGTGATAATTACCTCGAGGTCGGTTGAATCGTTACGAGGTCTTGGTTCAAGTGTCCGAGTCGGCGACGTCGATAATCGCAATATGAGGCACTTAGCAAGTCAGGTTGCTGATGAAGTAATCCAGAGGATAGGCACTTAATACGTTTGTAGGTCGATGAAATAAATCCAAGAATTTGGCACAGCGCGAACGTGATGAGTTGGAACTAATCGCTTCTGGGGGTCAGGTGACGATGGTAAAACATCGGAAGAGGAACGACTGCCTCGAAAATCGGTCTGTTGCTATATTCATTTGACAAACTTGCAACAATAGGTCAGAAGGTTATGTGAAAGCGTCCTTTTATTGTCTGAGAACGTGTTAAACGATTTACTCCTAGGTGTGAAAAAAGTTATTTAAACGATAAAACGGTTGTTAAAGAAATAGGTTAGGCTGTAGTTAAGTAAGTAAACGAGGCTTAGTCTCACACTATGATCGTTAATGGTATAGATAACCGAATATCTGTAATAAGGTATAAGAGATGCAATTAAATTACAGTGATGCTGAAGTTAGGAAATGATAAAATTGAAACGATTAATAGATAATGAAAATCAATATCAGTGTTGCGACATCGGGGAGATCCTTTCTTAGGATGAACAGCATAACTTAATCAATAATTAATGGGAGAGAAAGTTTTGGCTTTGCTTTCCAGAGTTTTCGAAGAGCGGTTTGTGTAAATTGTCGTCACTCGTTTTAGTAATATAAATTTTTTGTGTTCTTCTACTTAAGAAGCATCACTATACTTATTATTTTCTGATTGAAACAGCAGAGCGATAACAGGTAGGCGTTTTACTCATTCTATAAGCTCTAAATTACACGAAACCTAATAATCTGCCAAAATGGTGTATTAATATTATTTGCGAATTCTTGCTTGGTTCCTTATATACGAAGAAAAAATTATTGAAGATTGCTTGCTTAAAAAATCAAGAGAAAATAATGTAATATAAAATCAAATGTTATATTATGGAATGGAAAAAGTTATTTTCTAAATATAATGAGTTAATTACTACGTATAATCATAATACTATAAATTTCACCAACATTTGAAGAAGTTAGAAGAGTATCATAGTTTATGTACTGATAATAACATTGAATTTGTTTGTGGTGGTGGCTCTTATAGTGAAACTAGCAGATAAGCCCAGCGTTGATTGGGCAAAAAGTAACGATAGCGAAGATTAAGATTATTACATTACAGCCAATCCTACTCGTTTTCACAGAATGCAAGAATTAGGTTCTTCTGTTTCCAGACTAATTAGAAAATTTTTAGATGGGTCTAAAATTATGTTCGATTTAACGCAAAAATCCGCATCTGCGCCTGTAAAGCTTGCACATTGCTTTCTCTTAACACCTTCATTGTTGAAGCTTTAAACCTGTCCCTTACTTCGCGGGGGGATTTCGAAATATCCCTTCTTAGTGTACGTTTTCGTGATGTACCCTAACTGAGTACCAAATTTCGAGTTTCAACTCCTAACCGTGCTGAAATGCTCACGAAGAAATGCTCGTATACATGCGCGCCATCTATCGTAGGATAAATGTACTATGCCAGAAACTTCGCAGGAGTATATTAAGCAACTTCCATGGCAATCGGATAAATGGTGTAGTAATGCATGAAGGACACACAGACAAACATACATTCGTTTATATATATATAGATTTTTAAAAATTAAAGAATGGGAATAGAGGATTTACGGCGACAGATAGATACATTAACGATGGATGTAAACTATTTTAAGTGTTTCCTAAGACAGCGCTGTCCAACTTATCATAGCCCGCGGGCCATATTTTCTTCACCAAACATTTCGGGGGCCAAGAAAATTGATAAACCACATGACATTTGCATAGTGTTACGGTTCAGTAAGCACTAATTGGTCAGCGAGTCCGATGTTGACGCTATAAAAAGGCGACAATTCGACACACCGGATATACGTCACTCTCGTCTAAGTTTGACTTGGGAATTTTTTTGTTCAATAATAAATGTGAATTTTTCTTCCTGGAAAAATAAGACATTCTCTGAAAATAAGACCTAGCGCATTTTTCAGAGCAAAAATTAATATAAGACACTGTCTTATTTTCGGGGAAACACGGTAGTAAAATAATTTTATCAATAATAATAATTTAGTAACAAATTTATTCATAGTAAAATGTACTCGTGGGCCGTAAAAATTATTTGGCGGGCGTATACGGCCCGCGGGCCGCCAGTTGGACAGCGCTGTCCTAAGAGAAGAACACACAGCAATAACGTTCTGTTTACCAGTGTCTATGTGTTAAATATTCGATTAATAGAACATTTTTGTATCATAGCATATGTAAATGTAATAAATCTGAATACCGGGATGAATGTAGATGCATGCTGGGAAAAAATCACACAGCATAAAAGGAACAGAAATTGTTAGGGTTCATTATGTCCACTGATGAGGCTTTATTGTAAGCTCATCGCNTCCGTTATTTACAAGTGTAGGTCATTTGATATCATCATTTATCACATACTTCCATGACACTCTTGTCTGTCGGCTACAACTGCCAAGAATTAACGCGATTGGCGAAGCGTAGTGACAGCGGGCCAATGCGAGAGAGAGCAGGATCCTTGCAGTGAGAGCAGGATCCTTGCCATAATACGGTTTGCGCGCCAATTTTCGTACGTGCGTTAATCAAGCCGAATATTCGGCTATTCGGCCACGCTCCTGGCCGAATATTCGGTATTCGGCCTCAGGCCGAATATACTATTTGTTACAACACTAATTGAAACACCTTTGCTCTCTTACAACTGTTGACTCTGCTTAATACATCCTATGATTATATTTTAAACTACACTCACTACATTCCATTTCATTTAACGTATAACGAGTTCAACAACGTTGATAAGACGGTAAACAAATAAACGTCGCTCCATTGTGGGCCTGGCCGAACCCATAATGGGCTTGCAAAAAATGGCCTTTTTAGTGCCCACAATGCGGAAAGACGGACAGTTTTAAAAAAGCAGTTACGTTCCCTGAACACTGATTCGGTTGTGGGTTCGCGCCACTCTTACACATAAAACATATTATAATTAATGACGAACTGAACAAAGATGTACTAAAAGAATTATATGACTTAAGATAATTAATTTTTATGGTACCATCTACCAGTGCGTCTGTTGAGTGCAGTTTTTCGACCATGAAGCGAATTGATACATTCTCAAGGAGCACTCAGTCAGAGGAAAAATTGCGTTCAATAGAAAAAGAGCTTTTAAACAGTGGCGTAGCGTGGGTGTCAGCCGCCCGGGGCGGAGGAAAATTTCGCCCCCCTTATTTAGGTATCTCAATTTAAGACTAAAATTCAGTTTCGTCACAGAATAAGTAATGAAAGATTCCGTGCTAGTGTTGCCACTTTTTTAAAATCGCTGACCCGGACGGTGAGGTTTGTTCGAACAGAAGTTCCTGACGCATGCGTATGTCATTTTGCAATGCGAAGAATAATTTGCAGTGCATGCTGATTCTAAATTAGTTATAGTTAGCGACTAGGGAGACTTGGATAGGAGTAACGCAAGTGACCTAGCTCTATTGGATCGATATTGAAGGTGTATATATTTACGAATTAATCGTACAAGCAAAAAAAAAAAAAAGGTCGACAGGTTGCGCACGATATCCCCGGACGGCGCGGCGAGTCGATTCCCAGACTGTCCGGATGGTAACACTATTCCGTGCTCATTTCAATCGGTCCGAATCGTAGGTGCACGAAAATATGAAATAAAATGGTTCAAATTCTTACAAGATATTATTATTTATTGTGAAATTTTGCCGTCCCCTAAAAAGTGCCGCCCGGGGCGGGCCGCCCCCACTACGCTACGCTACTGCTTTTAAATACTTTGATGGAATCGACGACAAACGACTTTTTATGATAAAGTAATTAACGACTTTGCAGAAAAAATTGCCTAATAGAGTTAGTTTATTAAAAAAAAACTAAGTTTTTATATCATTCTTTGTATCATGTCAATTTGTATTATACATGTATTATTTGTAGTTTAGAATTAAATATAAATAAATTGTTCGTTTTTGTCATTTCCAGTATCTGTTTAAAACTTTTATGGAAATGTGAGGTTCCAGACAGGTCCAAACTGTCACGAAAGACGCGAAAAAAAAACAGTTATTTAGAGAAAAAATTTATTAGTTTAAAAAAATATAAGAAAAAATCGTTTGTAGTCGGACACNAGTATCTGTTTAAAACTTTTATGGAAATGTGAGGTTCCAGACAGGTCCAAACTGTCACGAAAGACGCGAAAAAAAACAGTTATTTAGAGAAAAAATTTATTAGTTTAAAAAAATATAAGAAAAAATCGTTTGTAGTC